GTGTCTCAAGCAAAATCGACCGGACCGCTCTTACAGAGACACTCTCTTAAAATTCTACAGTCTTTCAGTCTAGCATTGGCTCTCTCTCCATGGATGTGGCATTTGCCTACAGCCTTGGTTGCCTTTGCCTCACTTTCTGTGAATGTTCCACTGTTTAGGAAAGGTGGAATGTTAAAAGAGACACCATTGGGTAGAATATCCTGGATAAGAAACCCCTTGTCAGCAAGGATCATGTCACCACCACTGAAATGATTTACCAGACAAGACTGCTGAACAATAGCCTTGTCTGAAATGGATCCTGGATATAAATTACTGAAATAAGTGATGACAGCATTTGGTGTAACACCAATAATCACCTTGAAAGAGTTCATTCCTCTGTACGATGAGTATGTGGCATTTTGTTGGCTCATCAATCCAGGAGCAGCCACTTCTATGTCAGTACAGTCTATAATAATCCTGCATGAGCCAAATTGACTGAATGAGGATGGTGCAGAAAGTTTGTTTTTTCTTCTAGAGGGAATAGGACTTTATTGCTGTCCCTTAATTTACCTCATGGTTAATTTTTTCCAAAATGCAAGAAAATCGCCCTTTGATAAGACAGGTGGCCTGTGGACGCAGCTGAAATTTCCAGTTGTTGTTTCATGCTGTCGAAAAATAGATTATTATTAAAAGTAGTATTCTTTCCAGTAAAATAGCTCTTCATGAACTTTACTTGGGCTCTCACCACTGGATGGGGAAGATAACCTCCACCTGTTACCGTCATACATTTCTTCAGGGAAGAACCAAGACCCGCTCTTGTCAGCTCCTCTTCGCTGAGCATGCATGAAGCTGCTCGCAGGTCCAACGACATATCAGGAAACATCAATCGTTGTACATTGTGGCGCATTGTGATGGTCTTGTTGCAGCTTAAGGGCGATTTCAAGCCCCTCTTGAATAGAAGAGTGAGACTCTCTCTGGATTCATCAAGACAAAGTGGATGCACAAAAGCTCTTTGGTTAGGTGTTCAGGTGGCTCCCACGTGTTTTCTGCTGGTGAGTAATTCTTCCACTGAATGAAGTACACTGCTTTACCTCTTTAATGTCTTTTTGCAACTATGTGCTCAACTTTTGTAAAAACCCATAACAATAGGTTTTGTCCGAGGTCCATATTTCAATTTGAAGCTATGATCACGATCATCACTGAGTAATGACCCATAAAAGTCCAGTGGATGCCTGGAATGCTTCGACACTTTGTCTCGAAAGTATTTGATAGCAACTGAATGGACTGATTAAAACTTAACCTTTTCAATGTCTTGAACAATCAAAATGGATCCAAATTTGAATAAATTATCTAAACACAAACTGTTCCCTCACGCGTTTGCAACCCGGAGGTGGGTGCTTGCCTTTCATGGCTTGTTTTGACTTCAAAGAGCTGAATTATACATTTACTTCCCATTTCCCTAGCCTACAAGCAAACAAAACACTACACCGTTTTCTAAAACTTGGAAAACTCTAGATCTGGACTGCATTTACCTGTTGTAGTGTGTAAGAGTGGAATTGTGAAGTGCAAGTGAGTGACCTGCACATCAGGCTCACTCTTGCAATGTTTTTATATTTGCCTCAGCAGAATAAAAATATTTCAGACTATTTGAAATCCATCAAGTCACTTAAAACATCAGCAAAGTAAGTGAAAAAAGAGCAGTTAATGTCTGCATCACGTTCATTATCCGAGCAACACATTTAAAACTCTGTATTCTATATAAAAAACTATTTCAACTCACCCAGATAACATTTTGAAGGCGGTCTATAGTGTAAAATTAAAAGATATTGCTGCACATGAATCTAAGTGACTATTAAAGTGCTTTGTAAAGAGCGCAGCCCACCCTTAGTTAGACACTATTGTTAACATTATTGCATCTTGGGATTTTGGCTCACACACCCAACCGTTTGATTGACAGCAGTTAAAATCTCCAAAGAGACTCGAGTATTCCTAAAGCAAAATCTGTCGACCAGTCATAGCTGACTAGTTCTGGATATGCAAATTATTATGCCGCATATTAAAAACTGGGCACTGTAAGTACATGTTGTGAAAGACAATAGCATTCTGGGTAATGGTGCAATGGTGTGCAGGATTTGCCAAGAAATTCGTGCACAGGAAAAAATAATTCATAAGATGGATGAAAAAGCAAAGATGTAAAAGTAATTCAAAGGGTAGATGTAATTATTAATGAAACACCATAAAAATTAATTAAACAAACAGTTTTATAAGTATGTTTTAGTAAAAATAATTCATATAATTTTGACCAGGATGGGCCCCCATAGATGGTATGTCTCTGAAAATAACAGCCTGAGATTTCCAAAAATGAGTAATTCCCTTTTTTTTGGCCACAGACTAGAAAACCTACCTATTGAAGACTAGAGAAGAACAAAATTACACAATAAGGAATGGACACTAAGTCTCATATGCCCAATAAGGGCCTGGTACTAGTTCATCGGACCACATTCTTATTTTACGTTCTCCTCGTTCTTTAGCAAGAACGGCCTTCTGTATTTGTCTGTGGAATGGATGGATTCATATTTAAAGACACTTTTTCAATATATTCTAGAATGCAATGTACTGCCTTGCGACTTCCATTGGGAACAAGCCTGGGAACAATGGGCATGTAAAATGGCTAATTGTGTTGTGGCACATGATGAAGAACTGCTTGCCTTACTGCAAAGAACAGCACATCCTTCCACTAGGGAGGAATTTGAGTCAGCTATCCCAATGCTAGGTGATTTCCATGTTTGGAAAAGCAACAGAGCCTTGCGTCACAGGTTCCAAGACAGGTGGCTGGCAGAGGAAGAGATTAGTTTCTACAGCAATCAGTCGTCATCCTTAAGCACCATAGTTAGTTGAGGGGACTGGTTGGGAAACCTGGCGAACTTCAAAGGAGGAACTCTTTGTTCTGATTTTCGAGTGATCACGTGTTCACGACCGTGCACACACACACAAAGCAAGATGGCGTATTGAGTAGCGTTATTCCGTTTGTAGAACAAAATTGTTTGATATTCGGGCGAAATAAGAATTCGTTGAAATCAGATACTAGAAATATAGCATCCTTGGGAAATTATGCCCGGCGACAACTGCGCTGTGTTTGGCTGTGGGACCAGCAGAAGGACGAAAGGCATTGGAATTTGGAAGTTGCCTGCACCAAAGGACGAGGCTCACAAGAAATGGAGACAAGAGTGGCTGAACGAAATTACAAAGACAAGAGAAAGCGATGCTCCATTTAAAGTCTTAGTAGCAAAGGACAGGATCTTTACCTGCGAAAAACACTTTGAACCTGAGGACGTTGAAATATGTAAGTAGCTCGAACTTGTACGAGCGAGTGTAGACTTTCACGGTGTCGATTTGTGTTTAGATATCAGTCCTGTATATTCTGTGTAGTCGTGTTAGTGGTGCAATTCAGGCGATTTTTACTAGACATTGACTGCATATGGGGTTTTTCCATCCATTGTATCGCCGTTAAAACTTGGCGTGTAATTTTTTTATTTTGTTTATAGTTCATTCAGAGAAAATGATTAAGAAGAAGGCTCGGTTTGGTGCTCTTCCCAAGTTGAGCATGCCGAAAAAAACTCACGAGACTTCAAAACCCGAGCAAAGACCTGAGCAAACCATTGTCCGGGATCTGATCAAGAAGCCGCAAGTTCATTACAAGACTTTCACGGAGTTTTGTCAGCGCTTGACTAAGCTAAAGAGCCTTCAAAACTGGAACATTGGAACATTTTCTGACAGAGTTGTCTTAAAACAGGTAGAGATTCCATATGTGCTTCCGAAGTTTGAAATCGTTGTGGATGATAGGCTAGCATTTACAGTAAGAGTTTATGGCTGTTATTTTCCGGAGGATCATCCTGTGTACCTTGATTATCGGCGTACAGTCAGGAATATATCCATACGTAGTCTTGCTGAACTGTTCTGAAAAAGCGAAGAAGGCAAAAGACAAGCATCAGTTAACACCCGCTCATGTCAATGCTCCTATATCAAAGACTGATCCAGAGAGGATCAAACTGACTCTGCGACAGCAAAGGCTGTGATGTTATGAACTTGAAAGAGAGCTCAATGAAATGCGCAATGAATTACAGAAATCAAGCATTGAAGTAGACCATGAACTAAGCAATGACTTCATTAAACTATTTGATTCAGCGGACAATGAAATAACTCCCTTTATGAATCTTTTCT